TGATTGGGCTAAGGTTCTCTTCAGTGATGAATCCAATTTTCAGTTGATGCCCACTCCAGCCAACTTACTGGTTAGGAGGAAGCCTGGAGAAGCCTACAAATCAGACTGTCTTGCCCCTACAGTAAAACATGGGGGTGGATCAGTGATGATCTGGAGTTGTTTCCATGTGGGTGGAACAGGGCAAATGCAATTGTGTGAAGGGCAAATGAACCAGGTCTTGTACAGGGCTACTCTTGAAAACAATCTTCTTCCATCAGCTGGAAAACTCTTTCCTGCCTCCAATGACTGGATTTTCCAACAAGACAATTCCTCACACTGCAAGATCAGTTAAAGCCTGGATGGAGAACCAGAACACTGGAACCATGCCTTGGCCTGCTCAATCACCAGATCTAAATCCAACTGAAAACCTGTGAAAAAAATCATCAAACACAAAATGGAGAACCACAAGCCCAAAAACAAAGCATTTTTTTTAAAAAAATTTGTGCAACAGGAATGGGCTGCTGTGAACAATGTCAGAAGCTGGTGGAGAGCATGCCAAGACGCATGGCTGCAGTCATCAAAAACAATGGTTATGCAATCAAGTACTAACTCCTGTGTGCATCATGTGACTAAAACAGACAGAAAAGAAAACATGGAATGTCTAAAAGCACTGTTTTTGGCAGTACAATGCCATAACTACTGATGTAAGAACTGAAATGATTTTGGTTATTATCAAGAAAACCATGGGAAATGGCTAGATATCAGCTCTTAAATTAAACTCTTATGAGCTGTTTTTGGTGTTATCATTATATGTGTCCAAACAAATGCACCTTTAGTTGTACCAGGCATTAAAATGAACAAGAAATTGAAGAAAACAACGGTGGTCTAATATTTTTTTCCATGACTGTATATGAAACAGACATACATTCATACAAAAAGACCTTAATTTGTGGAGACATGTTCTGTGGTCTGATGAAACTAAAACTGAACTGTTTGGCCACAGTGACCATCGTTACATTTGGAGGAAAAAGGGGGAAGCTTGCAAGCCTGAGAACACCATCCCAGCTGTGAAGTACGGGGGTGGCAGCATCATGTTGTGGGGGTGTTTTACTGCAGGAGGAACTGGTGCACTTCACAAAATAGATGGCATCATGAGGAAAGAACATTATGTGGAAATATTGAAGCAACATCTCAAGATATTGGTCAGGAAGTTAAAGCTTGGGGTCTGTGAAACATGGAAAAATGACCCTAAACATAACGCCAAACTAGTCATAAAGTGACTTAAGGACAACAAAATCAATGTTTTGGAGTGGCCACCACAAAACCCTGATCTCAATCCCGTAGAGAAATTGTGGGCTGAAAAGGCATGTACGAGCAAGGAGGCTTACAAACCTGACTCAGTTCCACCAGTTCTGTCAGGAGGAATGGGCCAGAATTCATCAAACTATAGTGAGAAGCTTGTAGAAGGAAACCCAAAACGTTTGATGCAAGTCATACAGTTTAAAGGCAATGCTACCAAATACAAAGGAAATGTATGTAAACTTCTTATTTTGAAGAAGGTAATAAAAAAAATAAATCTCTAAAAAAATTCTCTGTCATCACCCAGGCATTTAAAAAATAGACATATTTTTGGTAATCCTATCTGACCTTAAACAGGAAAAGTTTAGTCAAATTTAATGTCAGACAGTGAGAAAAAAAAAGGTTGTGTCTTTTTACACAGTGTATGCAAACCTCTGGTTTCAGCTGTGTATACACATGAGTATGTACAACAATGAGAAAACATAAATATTTAATAAATCTTCATACTTGCTGGCATTGTTTTTATGTACTTTTCAACAGTCTCTTTTGTACCAGTTTTGTACCAGTCTTGACTCCAAAGCATACTTGACCACACTGTGAGAACACTTTATGTATTTCCACATTTGTCTTGTAAGGGGAATTATGAAATCATTGGAGTCATGCTTGTAGTGCATTGTGAGAAACACAAGAAAACTGAATAAACTCAGTCCACTGCGCAAAATGTTATGGTGTATTTATTCAATACATTATTACAGTTATAAGAGTCAATTGCAGGAGGGAGCGCTGGAAGATCACTGGATGAAATGGAATTGCGGAATTAAAAATGTTACAATTACATGCATGTGTGTAAATTAACGGTGTAGGAGAAGGGGAGGTTTTTATTTCACTTCATCATTTCTGCACTGAGAATGAGACCTGTGCCTAAAGAACAATTTCTTTCAAGGTATTTGTACCAGCCTGCCTCTCTGTGTGGCCCAGCGACAGACCTGTCCAGGCTGTATCCTGCCTTTGCTTTGGGTCAGCTTTGACAAGGTCCAGCCTTCCCAGGAACCTGCAAAGGATAAAGTAATGAGTAGAAAATGGATTGGATGTATTTGCACCATTTTAAAGTTGCAGAGGCCTCCAAATACTCTATGCACATTTAAAAAAAACCCCCAAAAAACATTGACTTTTTGTACACCAGGGGGCAATGTTGATTTAGAGAGAAGGAAAAGAGAGGCTTGAGATTAAAATGAACATATATTAACTGGCATTATATCATCAATTAAAGGACCACTCTTTACATAAGTAAGGAAGACCCCGTCTTTACTTCTTCTTTCAGCTTCTTGATGCTGCTGTTATTGTCCTGATTTATTTATTTTTTAAATTATTATCATGATTATTTTCATGTGAATTCACATTAATTACAGTTTCCATTTATTGCAGCATTGTTACCACATTAGTTCAGTGAAAAATGCTGTCAGAGGACTGTTGTAACGCCTCTGTCCTGAGTCAACGTGCCATTGTTTTGCTGCCGCCATTAAAGCCAACTCTCTGCTTTAGCTGATTGGTGGATTCAACCGTCATAGCACCGCCTACTTTGAAGTGACGTATTTCATTGGTTAGAGTTTTGGGATTTAGTTTCGCCCCGCCCCTTGGCACGAAGTTAACCACGAGGATTGGTCTGAACAGCTGACAGTCTGACAAGCCGTGAAAAGTCTCACCTTCTGTTAATTTGATTGGTTGAGAGGCATAAGGGCCGCATCAGGTTAACACCGGGGATTGGTTAGAAAGACGTCAATCACGATTATATCCAAAGCCATTGGTTCCTGGTGCCGTTTACTTTTGGGGCTTTCCTCCAAAACCAGTTAGACAGGCATCGTTGGTCAGACATACTTCGGCTATTGTCACAGAAATGAGATGTTTTCATCCACGGAACCGATGATTCTGTGAATTTAACTTTACGCCAAGAAGTATCATAAAAGTGAGTAAAAACAAATTTCTCTCTGTATTTCTCACGGAGTCAGTGAACCGTAGTGTTGTAGTAGGATCATGTAGTGGGATCATGTGTCTCAGTTATTGTCACAGACATGAGATGAGTCGCGTTTTTATCACTTAATGCCACTTCTTTACACACCAACTACTGGCTTTTGTAAAAAGCGCTGTGATTGTGTCATGAAGTCCATGTGCTGTGGAGCTCAGACGGGATTTTTTACACCCTGCTCTAATAAGTAAATGGAAGTGGTTCCGATTGGCCATCCACGTTGAAGTTAATGATTAGCCGGGCTAGCTCAGCCGCAGTGACGGTAAAGCGGTCACAGCCAAACCTGGAACACGGACACATGTGTGCATCTATCGGTATGGCGAGCCCGTCTCCGGCTACATGTTCACACACGGTCCCTGGCCGCAGCTAGAAACGGGGATCGATGGCCAAAATAAAATGGGAGCAAGTTCTTTACTTGTTAGCTTGGAAGCTACCTACTGGCAGCTACCTAATTTTCAGTGAAATTGCTTACATTTTGGGCAAAAATGTCTAATTAAAGCCTAGATGTCATACATTGGAGGCTCTCCAGTGGAAGCTGTTCTATCAGTGAAGTGGGATTTTTAACCGTCGATCACTGCAGGTCTCCCTTTGTTCCCCACCTGGCTTCCTTCAGGAGGATATAAATGTTGTTGTAACACTATTTTCTGATTGTGCTGGTCAATTTAGTAACGTTGGATATACATACATACAGATGATTGAAGCAGGCTTGGCTGTAGAGAGCCTGTGAGCTGTGTGTGATGGAGCCTGAGCTGCTCAGCACACATGTTGATGCTGTCTGAGCAGCCACCATTACAAACCTGTCAACTTCTGAGACCGATCAAGTTCATTATATTGAAAATGAAATCAGATTGTGCTAGATTCCATATAATATTTTGTAAACTCGGTTTGGGTCTAAACTAGATTCTATCTGAAATGCATAGTTTTGAGAAATCACCTTATTATTTAACATGACAGTTGTCAGACTGGGTGTTATGGTTACCGAGCTAGCCTATGGCCTTCTTGGTACATTTACAAATAAGAAAAATGATGTTCTTCAGTGGGCTGAAGGTGGGGTAGTTGTTAGCACCTCGCAGCAAGAAGGTCGCTGGTTCGCGTCCCAGCAGTGGGATCTTTCTGAGTGGAGTTTGCATGTTCTCCCCGTGCAGCGTGGGTTCTCTCTTCCTCCCACAAGGTCCAAAAACATGTTGAGGTTAATTGGTGATTCTAAATTGTCTGTAGGTGTGAGTGTCTGTCTCTAAGTGTAGCCCTGTGATAGACTGGTGACCTGTCCAGGTTGTCCCCTGCCTTCACTCTAAGTCAGCTGGGATAGACTCCAGCCCCCCGCGACCCTGGTGAGGATTAAGCGGTGTATAGATAATAGATGGATGGATGGATGGATGGATGGTGTTCCTCAGTCAGCCCTCCAGTCTTTCTCAGTTGTGCCAGTTTACACGATCAGTCACCTCCAACACAGTAAGGTGAAGACCATGTTATAGAGAGACTTAGCAGTTCTGACAATTATGAGCATGCAGCTCGCCACTGTTCCACTGATTAGTTGTCAGTGAGCTAAACAAACAAATCAGTAGATACACCAGTGGTCAGTATTTGTACCGTTCAAGGGCGTGTGAGAGCCCACAAGGGCCGAGATATTGAAAAGATAGCCTACCAGTGTCCATCTCATAAACTGTCTTGACTTGTAAACAGAAAATCATCTGTTTTTGTCTGAAAACATGAGTAATGCAAACAGTAAGAAAAAACAATTAGGATAATAGACAGTGTTAGTCTCTGTATTAAAAGTTTAGTCATTTAATTTCAGTTATTGTGTTTTGAATTTAGTTGGATTTACAAAACATCAATAAGTGAACATTTTTACTGCCACTTGGAGTTTGTAGCCTGCATGACTGTAGCTGACTGCTGTGCTGGTTCTGGATCAGATTCCGTTTCTCTTCCTCTTTCATCTTATTCAGTGCATTATTTGCAGCTTCTTTAGTTTCTCGATGTTTTTGTCTCCACTGTTGCATCTGTTTCACCTCTCCTCACATCTTTCATTTTCTAGGCATATAAAAAGTTTGGGTTTTAAGAATCTGACCACACTTTTAAGCCAACTTGAACTACAAAGCTGTGAACAGTTAAAACAGCATTTTGTATGAACAACGTTAGGCCCACTGACGTGCTCAGAAGTAACTACTTTGTGATCTTTCATTTGACAGGTTGCTTTTTCCAGTTAAGATGTCACATGTCTTTCCACTGTACTCAGATTCAAATTCTGGCCCATAGAAGCTGCTCCTGCAGTGTTAACAGTCTGCTGTTGGCTTCAGCACAAATGGTGTAGCCCTGATGGGTTCATAATTAATCTGTGTTAAAAGGATGCAATGGTGCTGACATGGGCCATGTTGTTGTGAAAATAAAACTCTCAGTCCTAGAATATGTAGAGGAAACAATCGTTTTAGAGCATTAAGCTAAAAGGAAACAGAAAAATGTAAATAAGAACAGCCACATTGTTCCTTCCTAAATCATTATGGAGCATCAGTATTGGTCGGCCTCTTGAACTGATCCTGTTTTATTGTCCATCGTTAAATTGACTGTCTTTCACGTTTCCCTTTGAGTAAAAAAATCGAATAGAGAACTTTATCTTTGACAGTATTTTTTAATGTGCAGTATTCATTGTTTTACAAAAGAAAATTGACTCAGGGGTTATTTCATGCCAATTCACCTCGATTTCAGAACGTTTCCCAGTTCATGTCATTTTTTTACAACAAAAAAAAGTCATGCAAAAACTTCAACCTAAACCATGGAACCCTGCAAAATCCTACAGTTTTACATCAAATACTTTTTGAGTTGTAAATTTTTAAAAATAGGCCCCCTGTGTTAAATGTTATAACTTCTTTTGAAGCATCTTTAAAGCAGCTATTGCTTATGTTTCACAGGATTTGGCAGGTTGTTTTTTTTTTGTTGTTGTTTTTTTTTTTTTTTTTTTTGCTGAACATCCCTAAGAAAAAAAAAAAAAAAAAAAAGTTGGAACTTGTAATTATGTCCATAGCTTATGCAGATTGTTATTATTATTATTATTTTATTTTTATTTTTTTACAGAAATTAAAGTAATAAAAATCTGTATAATCAAAACAACAACAACAAAACAAACAAAAAAATGGATATCTACATTAATATTCACTCAGTTCAAACCTAATTTTTATTGTGGACTGAAACAGCTTAGTTTGTCATATAAAAGTGTAACTTGGTGCTAAATCAAACACTGACTGCCTGACTGAAAAGGTTGACAGAATCTGAATCAACCTGAGGACCACTGCAATGTGACACAATATTAAACTGCAGCTGATCAACAGTGACTCTGTGTGACTGATCATCTGTCTAAGGTGAAGAAATGTTCACAGCTGCTGCTAGATCCTGATTGGCCCTTTTCCCATCAGGATCATTTGTAGCTAAACCTAATTAGTAATGAAGTTAGTACTGTTGCTCTGTGCGTAAATGCTCACAGCTCTCTCTCTCTGCTGCTGTCTGGTGCTGCAGGTTAGTAATAGCTGATGAAGAATTAGTCCTAAACAGCTGAAAACTGAACTGTCATTCTGGTTGTGACAGCTCCCCTGTCTGATGTGAAGACATGGAGACCTCCAGACTGATCTGCTCTCCATGCTCTCTTGGCAACAATGTGTAATTTTAGGAATTTAATTAGTTATCAGCTCTGTTGTTCTGTGTGCAGCTGAGCACCTCTTTGGAGATCCAGCGGCTGTCTGAATCTGCAGGTATTAAACAAACTCAGGGCCAGTAGTTCCAAACGGTTTGAAGAAACAGTTTAACATCTTGTAAGGAAAAAAACTCAGATTACATAAATTATTGGTGATTATCGTTCATCTTTAAGCTGTTCTTATTATTGCAGACATTTTCTTTTGTTGCCTTATCGATTTGAAAGCGTAGCGCAAAGTGCATGAGTCTTGTGATTTGTGCACTCGGACTGTGTATTTGAGCATCTCTGTGATGTTTTCAGACAAATACTGGTGCTAAAATGTGAAAAAAATCTTTCCCTAGCTCACTTCAAGCAACTCAGAGTGCTGCTACGTGTACATGTCCTATTGGTTAAGGTGACGGCTCAGTTCAGACTTGTGCCATGTTGAAAGCTATACGGACATGTTACTATGGTTAACCAAGTAACTTCTAGACATGCAGCCACCTTGTTCTGCTGCTGTCAGATTAATGGAACAGAATGCATGTCTGAAAGAGAGAGGCAGACTCTAAGAGAAAGATGATTTGCTGAATTGGAAATGGCAAAAAACAAAATGCACAACGCAGCTGGTGAAATAAAATGGGTGGAGGCTGAGGCTGGAGAGGGAATGGTGTTGCGGAACCTGGCGTAGTGACTGGTGGGTTGGCAGGAGAATAGCTGAGCTGAGCGAGCCGTGCTGGTGGTAACTGGACTTCAGCGGAGTGAGCAGACTGGTTTACACAAGGCAACGAGAATTCAAATGCAGACAGCAGACTAAGCAGGCAAGCCAGAAAGCACAAGGCGCAACAAGTAACTGAATGGAGTTTGGCTGTATTGGCTCCTCGTATCCACTCCTCGCCATACTAGACTGGCAAGGAGTAGAATTAAGGATCCAGGGGTTTCAGTATTGCAGGGGCTGCTTGATATAGTATAATTTGGAGTCAGTCCGCGGGTGGATGGGAAGCCAGGAGATAACTGAGAGCGTTGCCCAAAACACACACATACAGAGAGAGATACCCCTTCATTACTCAGGGTATTGAGAAGCACTGCCAGCCTATTAAATTAGTTTGTGTCTGTAGCCTTATGCAGGTAAATGATCACATGCTGCCACTGACGTATGCACAATCGTATGCCAAGGCGATAAAATATGTACACTTGATCAATAGCAATAACAAAATACTTTGATAGAATCTTTCATAGTTTCATTTACTGTATGCCAACAACCGTGAAAGCAAACAAAAAG